GTTTACTTGTGTTATCTTTGTCTAATATTTCAATTTGTTTGATGATCTGAAACATTTCAGTGTGACAAACATGCAAAAAAAAAAGAAATCAGGAAAACACTTTTTCACACCACTGTATTTGAGTAAAGTATTTAAAAAATGAATTCCTTTCCCTATGGTGTATATTCACCCTGTTTTTTGTTTGGATGGGTTTATTCGGAACCTAACTGATTTTTGATATGCTTATATCTGATGACTTACATTTGCACCCATTTATACCGACTTGGATTTAAACCTACAACCTTCCAGTTATATTTTTCAATAGTCAAAATACAGCTGTTTCCCCCTGTGCTATTACATATGTGACATTATAGATTGGTTGTGTAACATTATATGTTGGTTAAAGATAGTTGTAAATTGTCCATAATTAAACTTTTTTTTTTAGATTAAACAGTTTTTTGTTTCCCCTTTTTTTTAGTTGGTGTCCAAAAAACTCCAGCGGCTAATGTGTAAGATGTCAACTGAAAGCAAAATAGCAGCAGAAGGTACAGCCGGTAAATCAGAAGTCAATGGACGCAGTGCAAGTGACATCTCATCAGGAGGCAGTGGGAATAAGGAGCCAGAGGAGTCCAAGGGTCATGTGGACAACAGCGTAGTGCAGATCAAAGCTGGCAAGGCAGAAGTACGATTTCACTACTCTTCCCTTCTATTGAAATTTGGAAGATTTCTTAGTAAATATTCACCAGAAATGCTGTAGATCAGAGATGAGGTGGGCGACTCAAGAACTGGGGGCCAGAGCGTTGCCTCATCCATCTGTTTTCCAACCACTTCTTCTAATTCAGGGTCACAGGGGAGCTGAGTCTATCCCTGCAAGCACAAGGCAGAATAAACCCTGGATGGGATGCCAATCCATTGCAGGGCTGACAAACACAGACACACAGCAAGCGTGCATTCACACCAGGGCCAATTTTCCCAGAAACCAATGAAGCTACCAGCATGTCTGTGGACTGCGGGAGGAAACCAGAGCACCTGGAAGAAACCTATGTGAACCCGGGGAGATCATTCAAGCTGTACACAGATAGCAGCCCAGAACTTGAACCCACACTGCTAGCCACTTTGCCACCGTGCCACCCTGGAATAAATACACTGAAATGTAAAAGAAATCCACACACGTAATTCCACACATACGGATTGAATGCATTGCAAAAGAAATATCACAATATAGGGTAATATACCACAGTAGAGCTATTCCTTGTAAATGTAAAAAGCAGTTTGTGCCACATCTGAGAATATTCTCAGATCTCCCATTTGTTTCCATAGTATGAACAGCAGTGTTTGGATGCAGGCTAGGATTATTGATTTAGATTTTCTTGCTTTAGGCTAATTAACCAAAGTGGTTAGTACCCCTTGCAGCAGATAAATAGGTAGAGCTTGATTTGTGGTGAACATGCTGTCCATCAACAAATACATGAAACACTGCTTATTTGCAGGTTCTTGTTTTCAGATATTGTCATTTTTAGCATTTACCTTTTCACTTTGTGAAAAGAGCAGGAAGCTACTAGAGAGATGTCAGGGAAAACTACACTACTGGGGCTTGCAGTTATATCTTGGAGAGAGAAAAGGGAAGCTATCTACCAGCTTTTTGAGAATTCATCATCATGATTTATCTTGTATACAGCCTTGTAACAGTGTGTATCCTTAAAGCAGGTAATATCAACCTTGGCTTTTACAGTCCTGCACTTTCATGATTTCAATGCATTGAAAATAAATTGAACCTTAATTGCTTAATTATCCCATGTAGTAAAGATCATTTCAATCTGTCATTATTATCAAGAATAAAGGCTTGGAGTGGAAGAGCTTACTCCTGACCTTGGTCTCAGGGAGGGCTCCTTTTTGTTTGAGTGGGGCTACTGGTATTTTGCTCAAGGCTGCATGGGCAGTGACAGACATGACACATGGATCTGTTTGTCTTGGGCATTATGAGAATAATATGCTACAGAGAAACATGTTTGCATGAATCTAGGGATGCCCAATTCCAGACTCTCTTAGTGAGTCGCTGTATAAAAGATTCACCCTAAGAGGTAGGTAAAAATGATCAGAAAGCTCTAGTTAAGAAAGTAATTGAGTTTAAATTCAGTTTTATTAAGAGATTATTGGAATGAGAGCCTGGGGACGCAGTGGCCCACCAGGCCTAGAGTTGGACACACCTGGAATAAATGTATTTAAGATTCAGAGGTGCAGTGTGAAGGCAAAAAAAGTGATGTTACTGATGTACATTTGTTCTCTGTAGTAGAAGTCCTTATATCCTGAATGGTTCTCAAGTCTGTGATAAAGAAAGCCTTTTGAAAATTGTAATGGGATAAACTTCGTAGAGAGATTTTCAGTACTTTGGTATTCTTTGATCGAAAAGTAAATATTTTTGTTGTAGTTTGGTAACATGGCATTGTGATTCTGATTGTGTATTATCTTCATAACTGCCAGTTGTCTGAAACTGGATTGATTTTTTTTTCTTTAACTATAGCTAATATTATACTCATTTCACTTCACAGATTGATAGGCGAATATCTGCATTTATTGAACGCAAGCAAGCGGAGATCAATGAAAACAATGTGCGAGAATTCTGCAACGTGATTGACTGTAATCAAGGTAAGGATTGTAGTTTTAAGTGCCTGTGATAGCAGAGATTGCCAATGTTTGTCTGAGTGCTAATTTCTTTAAATGTCAGGTCGAACTAAGCCTTCCACAAAACCACATATAGCTGACCATAGTTGCGATGTGAATAAGCCTCAATTGCCAGTATTGTGTGGAAATTGGATTTTTTTCCCCCAAAGCAATACGGGTAAAAAAAATCCATTAATATTTCTCAAATATATTTACAATACCTCAAATGTATCAGTTTTGCTATGTATTACAGTAGAAGGAAAAATGTTAAAGAATAAGGTTAATCTTGAAATTAGAAATTATTTTCATGACTGCTTAAAGCCAAAGGACATTTGGCTTGAATAACATTGAGAAAAGATGCAGCTGTTAAATACAAGGAAAACCTTCCAAATCATTGCAATATAAAAAAATTGAGTTCAGTGCTTATGTAATGCAGTAGTTTGTGCCTACTATCTCCTGGATAGAAATTATATCCATCACAGGGATATCCTCCATTCTGCTGGCACCAATTTGGATAGCTAAGTAAGTGGGAAGAATTGGACTAAAGTCCGTGACCCAAGAATACTGCAGATCTGTCTGCAGTGGACACTTGAACTCTGAGAGCTATAGGGTATGGAGTCCAGTGCTTTAACCACTGTTAAATGCTGCCCCCTGTAGTGCAGTACAGGAATTCAGATAGTGCAGAAGTGCCGTAAATACAGAGTAACTCAAATATAACAGCTGTACACTGAAAAAGGAAAATCATATGTGACAGCAAATAGTGGAACAGTCAATAGGTATGAGCAGAAGAGTTGCCAGTTGTGGTGTGAACAAATGAGGTTTGAGGAGAACACAGCTTGTGCTGAGACATGGCCTGAACAGTTTGGATCATGTGTGATGCTTTCTGTGAGGGGCGTCTCTTTTGTGCGATCTCAGCACAGTAGTTTTGCTGACAAGGCAAAATTTGCATGTACAGTACATTACAGTAAGCTTTGGTCACAAAGTTAGATTTTTTTACAAGAATGAATTGAAATGATGATGACTGATTATAATGAAAACACAACTCAAAGTCTGTTATATATTTATTATGAGGTTTGATGTCTGTCTGCTGTTTTATAGAAAACAGTTGTGCCAGAACTGACGCTGTATTTACGCCATACCCAGGATTCAAAAGCCATGTTAAAGGTAATGTCTTCCTCCTGAATGTTTAGAGTCTCGTGTTTACTTTTACATTTATTTTAAACTGTTTTAATGCAGTTGCTTGTTTATGGCTCACAAGCTTTCCAAAACAAGGGGTATCGTTGATACCTAATTAAAAGTTTCAGTGAAATGGACTGGATTTGTACAACAAGAGCTCAGATGTCTGGTTGAGCTCTCTTGAGTGCAGTGCACTCAGTGTTGCTGTGTTGTAGTGACGAGGGTTGTGAATACCTACGGGCCGCAGACCAGGCCTGGATCAACTGGGGATGCTGCTGATGGACCGCGCCGTGTTCTCACAGACTGTGGAAACCCTGCCGTGGAGGAGAGGCTACAGAACATAGAGGCTCACCTCAAGCTACTACCAGGTACATCTGCCACTCGGTCTTCTGTTCATCCTGCCTGATCCCCCTGTGTTCTGTTTCTTGTTGTGAGTTTCCAGTCACCTTTGTCGATGACATGAGGTGTTTTTAAACACTGGTGTCAGGTGAGTAGTTTGCTCATACCTGCACACAATGAGCACATTTCCAAGCTGTTGAAGAATGCACATAATACAGCCGATAGGATCACAATCCCAGTGTAGATTAGTTCTCACTTGTAATATGTTAGATAGATACTTTATTGATCCCGTGAGGGAAATTGCAGTGCAACAGCAGCTTAACACACCCAACACAGCCACAGTGTAACGAATTATATACTTATAGTACAATACATACAATACAATACAAGAGTTACTCACAGTCCGGACACACAAGAGGAAACTAGAACAGAACAGTACACAGAAAATCGTATCACACATATGAAAATAAATATAGATGTAACCATAGATATAAATATAAATATAGATGTATTGCACAGGTCCCTGGCATATATTGCACAAAAGTGGTTGTAAACGGGAAAAAGAAAAAGAAAAAGAAAGAGAACAGATGTAGCAGTAGATGTGTATATGCGTTTAGTCCAGAAACAGGTCACTGTCGCTGTTGCCTCTGCCAAGACGCAAGGTGGATGCGTTGTACAGTCTTATGGCAGACGGCAAGAATGACCTCCTGTAGCGCTCCCTGTCGCACCGTGGATGAATCAGTCTATTGCTGAACGTGCTCTTCATTCCTGCAAGCCTGTCATAGAGGGGATTGGAGAAGTTGTCCATGATGGCCTCTAGTTTGGACATCATTCTCCTCTCAGCCACTACCTCCAAGGGGTCCAGGTCAGACCCAATGACAGAGCTCGCTCTCCTGATGAGCTTGTTCAGCCTTTTGGAATCTACTGCTCTAATCCCAGAGCCCCAGCACACCACTGCGTAGAAAATGGCACTCGCTACCACCGACTGATAAAACATGTGCAGCATCTTACTACACACATTGAAGGACCTGAGCCTCCTCAAGAAGTAAAGTCGGCTCTGTCCGTTCTTATAAATGGCCTCGATGTTCTTAGACCATTCCAGTCTATCGTCGATGTGCACTCCCAGGTACTTGTACGAGTCCACCATCTCCACGCCACTCCCATGGATGTAGACAGGAGTAGGTTTGACTCCTGTTGCATTATGTTGCATTAACATGTCTTGTGCTGTTGAGAACATAGTTTTTAAAATGTTCTTAATGTTGTGTAGTGTCATATACTGTATGTTGTTGATATAAAATTTACAGATTGAACTGGGAGAATTAGTTTTTGTGTTCATTTTAGGTGGACCAGTCCCTTTAAGTATTTATCAAAGACTGAAGAGGCTGGAAGACAGAGTTCTGGAGCTGGAGGGGCTTTCTCCTGAGTATTTTCAATCCTTGGTATGTACATGGATTTCCAAGGAGTAAGAATGAATGACAAAGCTTCAGGATTTGCGGATTTTCTTCATTTTCATTTTTTTTTATCTTTGATCATGAGCCAAAGTGATTTCTTAAGCATAAGTGAAACCCACTATTTGTAGCCAAATCTAATCATTTTCACTTCATGATTTGAAAAGGCCCTGCACTAGTAGAATTCAGATAAGGCTGTGTAGTTATCTAAAATAATTTCTCTCTAATTGTTTTGCCAGTACCCTCATTTTTTATTTTAGCCATTTGATTGTTTAAATGCATGTGACTCTCCGTGATGATTTCATATATGTTGTCGAACTTGACCTACACAACTCCTTTTGCTATTAGCAAAAGTGAAATAACTGAGAAGGACATAGTGATGGTTAACTGCACGGCAAGTTTAATTATTTTATCAGTAGACGTCCTATCAGAAAACTGTTATCTACTGTATGTGTCCATATATGAAAGCAAAGGTGGTTAAGTAAACGTAATAAAAGCAAGACCTTGAAATTATTATTCACAATAGGTAGAAGAGAACGAATCATAACCTTTGTAGAATATAATGTCTTGTTCTTAATTGGTAACCAAATCATCAGTATGCATCAGTAATGAAATTATTCAGGAAGAAAGAATGGAACAATACAAATTATCTGATGGGGCTTATTTGCTAGCTTCTAACTGAGGAAGCCAGATATATAGTGAAACAGTCCTGTAGATAAATGCATTCAAGGACATAAAGCAATAAAATGAATGTTTCTTCTAGATCATAACCACACGTACAGGATTTTATTAGCATATAATCAGTACAATACCCTGTACCACCTCTCTTAAAAATGTAAACTCCTGACTGCAAAATATTTAGTAACTACTAGTCATAAATTGTGATTATCTTTTTCCTTTTTTATTCACTCCTTCCAAAAAATACCAGTGTTAGAATTCAGCTATCTAACTTAGCAAGTGAATCTACTTGAGTTTCCAGCCTCCTCTTGTACAGCTAAGGGTAAGCCCTCACTTTAGAACAGTTAAGAGGATTCTCATTTTCTCCATGTTTCACGAGAAAGTTAAGTGCATCTCTAAATAAACAGCGGTTTTGCGCCCACTGAATTCATTTTCCTGTTAATGCAGATAGAAAAAACATGAGAAGAGTTTGAAGATAATCACGATACAATGTTAAATGAGAACATTCTCTTCTCATGAGCTTGACAATGAGTAGTGATTAAGAGCATAAACAAGAAACATGTGGCACTTTTTCTGTGGTCTGGGGAGGTAATGTTGGAGGTGGTCAGGCATGCTTGTCCAGTCTGGTGCTGTGTTCTTTGCAGCCTACCTAAAACAGTTTGGCTACGATTGGGGAGTCAGACTCAATTTGTACAGCTTAATTGTTTTGGGAGGTTAGTTACTGTAGAAGAAAAAATGTTTTCAATGCAAGCTCTTTTGTTGAAGCTGGCTGCCTTCTTTTCTGTTTGGTTAGGGATTACTTTGAAGTGGTCAGTCTGCCAGGCAGGAAAATAGTTCATCAGTTCAGTTTACATGCCTGAAGTCTTAAGTTAACGTAATCTATTAGCAAACAAACTTTTATTTTCTTCAAGGCAGCTGTATATCTCATTTAAATACATCTCCATGGATCGTATTCCAGGCCCCGTGGTTAAAAACACTGTTGCTCCCTTACATCAGTAGCTTTAAAACAAAACGTAAACTACACTTTCAACATTTGTGTTTAAAAATGGCTATTGGAATTTTAGTAATGTTGTAAATACTCCTATAATCACCATGCCTATAATGTTCATTGTAACTGTTTCGTGATTTTGTGGTCGGACAAACATCAGAAGCAGTCATTTTCCATTGTGTTTTATAACATTCTGCTTGCTATTGATTGTTCTATTTATGGCATAGTAAAAGCAGACCTATTTATGTGCTTTACGTAAAGCTTGACAGACTCTGTTCCTGAAAGACAGTGCCATTTTAATAACTGGTACTTTTCAGTAGTTGCAAATATGCTCCAAATAGCCATATCCTTAGTGGGTGTTTACAACAGAATGTGAACCACCCAAGAAAGCACTAAAAGCTAATGTCACAGAAAACAACTTTTTTATTAAGAGTAACTTTTTCATGTGTAAAAAGTTACTCGAATAAAACAATCTTCAAATTCTGTTGCCTTTTTTCACCTAATTCCTGTATAAAATAGAAAAACACTGGCTACTCAGGACACTGAGGAGGACGAAAACAAGAGTCATTGCCATTCTTTTATAAGCAGTCTGCATAGCAGCTGTATGAAGAGGAGCTCTCACTGACTAGAGCAGTTTTGGTGTATGTTAACTGGACGAGACTATTCTCACACTTTTTTTAAACATGGTAAATAAGACGCGTTATGTTGCAGTATAGCAGAGGAGATGGTGTTAAACTTTTTATTTCATTAAAAAAATGAAATGTCTTCTTAAATGCATCTTCATTTTTGTTTAACAGTTGCTATATAGTTCTTTTTTTAACCAACCTCTTCCTTGTTTTTTTTGTTCTGCTGCAACAGGGCTATCTACATAAAAGGCAGAAGGTGTCAGCACCTCAGGTGAGTGTGTGATTCCTTCTGTTCACTTTTCAGCCTTCAGCAGTCTGTGTGATTGACTCTAAATTGCTTGTGTTTATTCCAGCCCTACAGCCTGATGGAGCTGGATGGGAAGATTAATGCGCTCAAGGCAACGCTATTGAAGAAAGTAAATGAGTCTCTGCCGATGGAGACTGACGAGTTCTCCTTGTGAAGCCATTTCCAATTCACAGGCTGTAACCTTCGCGGCTTGACTCCTCCACTCGAACAAAATAACTTGAGAAAAAAAACGAACAGACTGTAATAATGAATGTGATTTTTTTCCTCTCTCCCTCTCTCTCTTTTCAATCTGTGCTGTCGCATATGTATTCTGTTCTGTTAAAGGAAAGTTCTCTATATTGATACACATTCAAGAACAGTTATAATAAAATGCTGGAATGGCTGCCTGAGGTGAGAACAATGACTAGGACCCTGGAGAACAAAAAAAGGTGGTTTAGGCAGCTCTTCTAGCTAGAAAGTTCATGGATGGTTGACTGGTATTTATTGACCAAAGGTTTCACTATAGAAAGGTCAAGGCTTTTCAGAAGAGCAGTAGTCAATATTAAATCTTTGTTTTTTTTCATTCCCCTTTTTATACGATAGGTTGGGTGACTACATCTGTAACCTTTCATAGCTGGGACAAATGTTTATCCATTTACCTTGGATCATAACAGTGTAATTCCTGCAAAAAAATAATAATTGAAATGATAGAGAGAAGAATCCTTGGGACACAATGATACACAGTTTTACAGTAAACACAAAACTATAGGTTAAGGAAAGTGGTAAAATCCTGTTTAAAGTAGCGGTTACCTAGGAGTGCAGTGTCCTGTTTTTAGAATTGTCTCTGATATGCGATTAACATCAATCAATGTAGAGGAAAATGCCTTAAGGCTAAGCAGCAACACTATGTAACATTACAATATAACCTAAAAAAATATCACAGAAAGTTCTATAGGCATGAGTTTTTTACTTAATCAGAGTCATGTTAAAATTCATAGCAAATTGTTAGAGCTGCCAGCCCTGTTATCGGTAACTATACAGTTTCTTACATTAGGAATTTGTCTTTTTGCATACCCCAGCTTGCTCTCCATGAGACACACAGGCGGGGAGAGAGAAGCTTGGGGTCAGAGCGCAGGGTCAGCCATTTATGCGGCCTTGCTCAAAACGGGATTTGAACCAGCACCCTTCCAGCCACAGACACAGATCCTTAGCCACAGAGCCACCGCTCCGCCCTGCATGATCATTTGTGTCACCCCAGATAATTGATCAGGATATCTCTTTCCATCGATCTGTAGAGTACTTACATGTTTAGTAGGCTATGGACGAGTTATCTAGTCTCATTCATATTTATTGTCAATGCATACTTTTCACAAGTATAACAGAAGACTGACTGTGTGGTGACCATAACTCAATTAACCCCAAAAAGAACATATCTTTGTACATCAATGATTTCCTATTTCATTTCAAATGAAGAATTTAAAAGTGGGATGCTGTTTCTTTCATGTATTGTTAAACCTCACTGGTCTACCGTTGAGGCAATCATGCCTTGGTTTCTGCTCTATGGAATTGAGCTTCCTTATTTTCTCTTTGCAACATGTTGAAATGGTTCCTAGTGTTCTGTCTGGCATCACAGATGAGGAAAAGGGGAGCTGTGTGTAAGTAGCTGACTGTGACACATGAAAGATGTCTGAGGTAAGGCTTATTTTGACAGGAATGCCAGAATGATCTGACCAAAAAAAGATATTTCCCCTTTTCTATTTTATGTTCTTATGGAAGGGTGTTTCTTATTCAATGGAAGCAGCCCAAACACAGCATGCATCCTCCAACAGGTCTCCTATACTGTATTAGTAAAACTGTATGTGAAAATATGTTCAATGCAATGTATTTTAAATTTCAGGCATTATAACAAAAGCTTCCAAACTGCAAGATAAGAACTTTATACATTTAAAATGCTGCTAGGGTATACTGTCAAAATTGTAGAAGTAATTACAACTAGATTTTACAAATTCAAAGGGCACTAGGATATATTTTGGCAGAACTGGCAGAGTTCTGGCAGAGCTGTTATAGGAACGTTATTTTATTACATGACTTATCCGTGAAACCAATACTTAAAGTGCCTGTATGTACCTCAGGAATGTAGGTGAAAAACCTTTCAATAACAAGGCACAGGAAGACTTGCAGTCTTATATCACAGTTAAACCTATAGTGCTCAATGAAAAAGACCTTAATAGTGTTTTGCATTTAAGGATAAGAGCTGTTTTTTTTTCTAGTATCTGCTATGAAGTATCTATTTTAAGCTATAGATTTTATTCATTGACCTGAGGCACGTAATGCTAATTGCCTCTTTAAGTAAAGCAACTTGGGATTTTAGACTTTGTATCTGGCATTTCAATGTAGCATAAAACTGTATGTAAAGACAGGAAGGCAGATTCCAAAGCACCATATACTGGAGCAGCTGGGAAGACTAGCATTTAAAACAAGGATGAGCAATTCCTTTCATTAGCTTCACAGGTATTTTTCCAGTTAGTGGATGATTAAGTCCTAAAAACACAGGTGAACTTCTTACCAAGTGATAAGTTCAATAAGTAATAATGAGCACTGGTATGATGGAATCTAGAAGGCCGTGATCCAGATCATGTTCAAAGTACAAAGATGTTGCTTATTTAAATTATATGCCAACCATATTCCAAGGTTATTGTTCTTGGTCATTAGAGTCCCTCTTGAGCAAAGCAGTCCCTTCCCACAAAGGTGTGTATCTCTCCCATGAAGCTTTACCTGCAGTCCAGAAAAATGACACTGAAAGCACATGTTGGGAGAGCTAGCAGTTGAACAGCATTTCCCAGCTCCGATCTGAAATATGACCAACAGCGTTTTATGACCAAAACAACAGAAAAATCAATGAAACACATTAAGATGTGAAGGAAGGGTGAACAAGGAAATGCCCAAATCATTGAAATGGAGAATAATACAAACGCTGATTTTAAGGATAATACAACTGCCCCCTAAAAGACGAAGGTGGTGTAATTCTTGTCAGCTTTATAAAGCAGGTTTACATCAGCTCTGAAGGTTTTGTTTTGTAGGAAGGTTTTCACAAGGTTGGTTAATATATCATCTTCCATCCATCCATTTTCTAACAGGATGCTAGTCTGTCGCAGAGTACACACCGACACAAATATGCACACACTCGCACCGTGGCCAGTTTTCCCAGAAGTCAGTGAACCTATCGGAATGTCTTTGGATTGAGGGAGGAAACCCATGTGAACACAGGTTAACATGCAAACTCCAAGCAGATAGCGCTCCAGGAACTGACCCCAGAGCCCCAACACAGCAAAGCAGCAATGCTAACTGCTGCACCACTGTGCTGCTCACCTAGCAATATGTCTATTTTTCAGTAGATTTTATATACTGTACACACTAAATGATGCTGTACTTTGCTATTGGTACTGCTAAACACATGATGTGGTAAGACCGCTTGAGACCTTGAGAGAATGAGTGCTGTTAAGTCTATTGGAACTTAAAATGACTCAATTGTGTGATTTTTTTGGAGGTTGAAACACAGCCCTAATAGACTTTCAGTTTAAGAAAATTACACCTTTTATAAAGGGCAAAATATTCGACTGGTAATGTGTGGATGATCGCATGGCTGGTGAGGTGTGTGGTCTGATATGGAAATAGTGTGTACCTTATCTCTACTTTTCATTGGATTTCATTGGATGGATACCCACCCCTAAAGATAAGCTACAGTTATACAATATTGCAATTCTGAGATTTAAAAAAGGTTCAGTACATTACAACCCAGTTGAAATCCTTACATTTAATTGTGTTGTATATCTATAGCATTTATCGTATACTGTATACCTCAGGTTTCATTATAGACCCCCCCACTCCTTCATTGCATTGTTTCAGTGTGTGTACTTCTAATCTCTCACACGGATCATTTTCAATTAATTTTTGAAAATGTTTTGTGCAAATAAAGATTGTCTTCTTTGTTTATTGCAAAGCTAGACAGCTATATTGTGACTAACACTTGTGATGTTCTTGTAGACGGTGTCTTGAATGATACAATGGAGCCATTCAACAACCTGTAAGAAAAAAAGAGTTGTGTAATCTCTCAATGAATGCCATACCCAGAAGGAGTGGTGTGCATAACAAAATGCCTACAGTCATTAGCTTTCTCACAAGGCAGATGAGCATAAAGGTTAAATTGACTTTGTAGGATAGAGACCTCTCACACTCAGATAAGATGGGAACGCAATGTGACCTACACAGTTTAGTTTAATAAAAACGGGGTTCAATAGTATCTATGTTAGTGCTGACTTTTCACTAGAAAAGAGTGACATAAACCTTGTTCACTGAAGCACAGCTGTAGAATGACTGTGAATCTCTTGATGCAAGCAACAGCCCCCGCTGTCATTGTAAACTGAGGTTAGCAATATGATTGCGCCAACAATAGTGTGAATAATAAATGATAAATACGGATCTCAGAGAAACAGTTGACATTACTATGAAGTAACTCTGCTGTGTAATCTAGAATCCAGGTCACTACATGTTTGAAAGCCTATTTGGCAACACAGTTCATACAAAATCTGGCATTGCATTAGACGTTCATGCTATAATACATTTATCACTACCACCTAACACAGCAGCATCCATAAAAAGTGACAAGCAGACTTTTATGAAAAATATTCAGTGCCGGTATGACATCTTTTACAAACATTTTAAACTGCATCTGCGACTTTTTGGTTTCCTTATAACCTAGAATCTATCATCACACTGCACTGAAAAAGATTATTGACAGACGTTTTACAGTGAAAGGTTAGGCCATTTTAGACAAATCTCACTCTTCACTTATCACATTTTGTACTCAGTGTGAAACATTTAATATCAGTCATTGTAATGCTTCGTTGTACAAATTGTGATTGGTTTATGTCACTTTGGCATCTGCTAAATAGTTATTATAAAAATACTAGTAATAATATAGCAGCACATCATGGCCTTCAGATCCAGACTGAATTGCTTTCTAAGACGACAGCTATTGTCAAGAAATTACAGATGCAAATGCTTTTCATTGCTTCTGCTTTATAGTCTGTTAAACCATGTATTCATTTGTGTATTCAGCATTTAATCAGTTATGTTTGAAGTCTTTATTGTTTTAAATGTACAGCTCCTCCTTTTCATTTATAACCCATAAGACATAAAACCTTGGAAGAAAGTGAAAAGGGCAATTACAAGTTTACCTCATAGTTTAAGAGTCAACTTTTCATCCTCTCCTTGATTTGTATTACTGCTATATACAGTACGAAATCTGCCCCTGATAAACCCATACAAGCTCATCTCATATGAAAAGGTTAAAGTTAATTCTGCTGAAAAATGTATGCCCTGTGGGTGTCATTATGCTATATGGGGAAGAGGAAAAAAAACAGTTGTTTTTTTGATTAGACATTTAAGAAAACAGCAATACAAAGAAGGTTCCTGGTCTAGGTTACAAGTAGACATGCTCAAAGAACATTGAACAGCAACATATTTTTAGACTTGCTGAACACCTACCCCAGCATAAAAACACATTTAAACATTAAAACATTGAATATAGACAGTTTTGCTCATATCCATGAATGCTGTATTGGTGTGAAAGAAAATATTTAATGGGAATTGTAAGCTATTCTTATACCTGTATCAATTTATTAAACATAATCAACTTTGTATCATAAATGTAAAGAAAAAAAAATGCTTCACTGGTGCCAATAAGCAATGCACTTCATACTGCTGTAAAACTATAAAAGTATTTCTTCCACACGTTTCAAAGAGAAAATGGGGTGGCTGGAGTACATGAAACTCTGGGAAATAACATGAACATCTGACTCATCCCAGTATATTATATACAGCTCAAACTACAGATTTAAGGTATCTGCAGAGCCCTGCAAAATAAATTCAAAATAGCAAAACAAAACTATTATTCCATATAATTTAGATAGACGAAATAAACATTAAACAAAGCTTTATGGTGGTTTCCCAAGAGCACAGAAATACAAAAATTAGACAATAATTTCAGGTAATGTAGTGAAATGTAATCAAACTGATGTTCACTCATTAATAATTCAGTAAAGGGTTCCTGCTGTATAACTAACCGGTGGACATGTTGCATAAGTTGGAATAAGAGGTTGATAGAGAAAGCCACTCTCCCGGACGAAGATTCCTACCTGAGATGAAAAGTATATTTTGAAGTTTAATATATAAAATGTAGTTTAACTGTACAGGAGACAACCCATTGCGAACGGAGTGAAAAAAGCTCATTTAAAATTAACAGTTAAAGACAATACATTTTGACATGTAAGCATTCTTAAATTTGTACTGTATCTGCATTGTTCTCTGGAGTAGTTTCTAGGACATACTGGGATAATTAAGTAAATTAAGTTCTCGTAATTGAGTAAAACAATCCCTTTGAGATGTTCTCTTTCACATACCTTTTAAACATTTGCTTACACAAAACTGCGTGAAGCATATGTCCACAGTGCTAGACACAATGCAGACAAGGAGCATTGTTGTAAGGCCCATTGTCTGAACACCGCCCTGTGATATCAGTTAATGAGTATAAATTGTCCTGCTTAAAATTTCCAAATGGGTTATTAACGTGAACAATGCTCCCATTCCAGCTTCCCAGCCTAGCACTTTGCTTGCCTGTTTAATGTTCACATCTGTTGGATCTCCAGGTTTTGTGTGACAGTGCACTAATTGATCTGTGAAGTACTGCTTACCAAAGGCTCGTTTTTTTTTGCTTCATTTGATTTGCCTAATCTTGGTACTTTATGTTCCCAAGGCTAAAGGCTTAAGTTATAAAAAGGTAAATGTTTAAATAACAAACAGATGCAAGGAGGCAGGATGGAGCAACAGTGAGGATTCTGGCCACTGACCCTGCATGGTCCTGGGTTCAAGCCCTTGGTGTGGACAGAGTGGTTGCAACCCACATTGTGGGTTAGGAATGATAGCTTCTTTTTACACTGGACATCTCAATCCTGTCACGATTGTAGTCCCTCCCCTTTAAGGGCACTCCGGCTCTTTCACTTCTGACCTGATTTTGTGCACCTGCCCCTTGTTCTAGCCTCCTTCCAGCCCCCCTTAAAAGCCAGAAGCTGATGTTAATCCGGGCTCTGCTCTGGTTTCCGCACCAGGCAAGTTGGGGACCTGGAAGCGCCTGGTCCCGTTAAGGTTTTATTTTCTGTTCCTGTTCCCCGCCGGTTCCGATCTGGTTCCTGTTTTAATCGTCTGTCTAGGATGGGCTGCCTGGCTTTGGACTTTTGCCTCCTTTTGGATTCTCCTTTGGACTTCTTCCTGGATTGTTTGCCTTGGCCACACCTCCCCCGAACACCAGCGCACCAAGGACATGCCCACTGTTTTCATCCCCGTAACCTGCATAACTTTTTTCCTCCGTGTTTTCTTCACTTTTCCCTGGATCGTGTAGTCCGCATAGGGTCCGAATAGAACTGTTCGTTACAAATCCATGCAAGCTGCAACTGTTCCATGCAAGTTAGGTCTTGAATCCTCGGTGCACTTAACACTGCAGAGACTAGAGTAAGCCCTAGATCGATGTTAACCTTTAACAGCAACAGCACTCCTTGTCGGGTTTTTTTTTTGTCTGGTATTGACTACAACACACATATGTTACATGAACACCGGCAACATCCAGCAAAGTCACCTTTGGTCCTGTTAGGGGAAATGGAGGTTCCAGTTATCTGCAAAGTCACTCCCAGTGTGGGGGAGGGATCCCAGTACAGTCACTGGTCCAGGACAGGGTGGGCGCTTGGAGAATTTGGAGTTGTCCCCTGTCAGTTCAGGGGCGAAGACATCCTTTTCAAACAAGACAAATGACACACAGATGACCTCACAGATGTTGAAGTTATACTGCACCTGACAATAATACTCGCCCCATTTCTTCTGTATTTTGTTTTATTTTATAAAAGCACTTATACTTTTCTTTCTAATTTTTTCTCTTTCTAATTTAGGTTTGGGTTTCTGTGTACAAAAAGGACATAGCACATAGCACTGATGAACAAACCCCTCATACAGTAAGTTGCCTTTCAGAGGTTATTACATGACTTTCGAAGAATGAAACAAATCATTAGTTTTAGAATTAGCATTAAAAACCTCCTGTTTTATCTCCAATTATACATAAAAAAGAAGACAACATTTGTTAACTTTCTTATCCAAAACTGCATAAAACAATAATAAAGTATCACAGACCTCCTTGGAAGGATAACACTAACTTCCCCCACGGCGGGAGACGCAGCCTTTGGGAGCAGAGGAATTCTCTGCTCTCTGGGAATAACCCGAGTGATTCAGTGGCCATGATCAAATCCCAGCAGGGGCAGAATGGCATTCATCATTAGCTGGGGAGGCTGTAACACCACTCAGGGACAAGACACATGTTCTGTCAAGAAGGCAACAGCATTCTGAAATCAGCATATCGAGGAAAATGTGAAGGTTGTAAGAGAATGCATGCACAAAGACAAGAAATTTGAACACTGCCCTGCAACAGCAATCTCAACAGCATCTCCATTTGTCCCTATTCACCAAGCATCCATGGCCAGCATGGTGAGTCATGGTCAATTGCCTCATTGAGGGGAACTTTCATACTCCAGTACAGTGATCCTCACTCCTGCTCCTCAAGAGCAACAGCCTTACACGCTTTATTACCCAAACCTGTCAGTTGTTAAACAGTGGTAATTAATGGCCATTAAGTGAATGATGGTTTTAAGTACTCACGGTGAAATAGAAGCCAGGAGCCTTTCCTGAGCCTCTCGAGCACCAGGAGCGAAGATCACTGCTGTAGCAGGATTGACTGTTGTTGGTCATTTCTTTAATCCATCCATCCATTTTCTAACGTCTTTGTCGAATACAAGTTTGCAGCATAGCCAAAGCCTATTCCAGCAAGCAACAAGGTAGAATACACCTCAGACAGGTCCGCCAGTCCATCACAGCATTTCTTTAATAATATGTATTTATGAAGAAAAAAGCAGCATAGCCAACAGCCACAGCTAATGCATTAGTTTGCATTTCAAGTGACCCATCAGCTGCAGAAGTACATTCATATATAGAGAAGTACAGGATTGCTAGCCCTATCTCAAAGTGGAGCCACTGCAGGAGCATGCTTTGTATATTCTGTCTGAGCAGCAAGCACAACAACAGGTTATGCATTTAACCAGAATATCTTACTGTTATTTTGAACAGTTAAAAGTGGAATCGATACGCTAAAGCAGCAGGAGCATTACTAGAATGCTGCCGACCTCTCATTCCACTGAGGATTAAGATTTGTGAGAAAAATATTTTGCGTGCGCCTTCAGAAACGATCACCTTACTTGTCTTTTTTTATATATATATATTTTTTATATATTTTTATATATTTTAAATAAAAAAATAACCTCTCTATTGGCATCTGCCTTTCAGCTAGGGGAGCGTCGAAATTCTTTTCAAACTCTGTGTTATTGACCGATCCAGAATAAGGGGGAAAAAAATCCATTTCGCTGCCAAAAATCTTTTGTGTGAAATGTTTCCCACAGGGTGGAACGTAATTACATTTTGAGTGACCCATTCCTCCCATCGTGAACAGTATTATATGTCTCATGTTTACAGTGATTCTGACTGCTGCTCAGAATGCGGTCTTTACCTTGACTTGATAAAAGCCCAGAGTGGATATATCCCCACGAACTGCTGAGTCTTAGTCCATTGTGAACCTTGCAATTATTCTTGAGCTTCCATCTAATCTTTGAAGGTTACTTGCAAGTGCTGAATGGGGCAGTTTTCTACTTGTCTGGCTTTCGTCTTGTACAACTGTATTGTTTTTTGGAGAACAGATTCATATCCATTCATAATTACGAGCTCTTAATAGGCTCAACCTCAAAAGCTTGCTGACTAGTCAGTCTCAGTCCTTATTCATTTATGGCACCATGTCAAAAAAGACTGTTCCTCATTTGTACCTGAACAATAAGGAACAAGACTGAATCTCCCACAGGGACAAAAGAAAGCAAACAGCCTTTTGATTCTGAAGAACATTAGATTCTGACACATTTAACATGGCCTTTTTGTCCCAAGTGTTACTGCTCAACGGTCTAAAAAGACCACCTGTTGGTTACCTAGGCTATGTTCCTCCTTATTATTATTGCTATTAGAGGTAGTGCATCACACAGATTTGAATGTCAAACCAGTCTTTCCAGCTTTAAAAAGTCTTCTGCAGTCCCAAAAGAAAGTTTGATTTGGAAAAGGGATTTTTTCTGTCATTTTCTGATTCCTAAGGATCAGAAACCTCCGTCAGGTCTCTGATAAAGATTGTTTTGTGGGACATTCATCTTGACATCACTGGTCATGTTATGTACCATAAATTCACATCACAGGAATTTTACGGGTTGTATTTAAATAAAGCATCCAATAAGCACATAACATTTTATGAAATTCTGAATGAGAATATGTATTACCACAACGAACATCTTAACTAACATAAAAAAACAACATACATACTGCTTTAGTGCCATGCTTTCAGATCTTTTGATCTTTGTCTGCAGTACTACTTATTTTACATAGCGATACATATTAATTTTTCAATAGTTTTTCAATAGTTTTTTTCAGTTCTACCATAATTATCATTTGTCTTGGTCCAGACATAATTAATATATAGATATATGTTTTCTGTGTGGAGTTTGAATGTACTCCAAATGTTTGTGTGGGTTTCTTCCCACAGTCCAAAGTTATACTGGTAGGTTAACTGGCTTCTAGGAAAACTGGCCGGTGTGAGTCTGTGTTTCTGTTTGTGTCCTGCAGTGGACTGGTGTCCTGTCCTGGGTCCGGGGTGTATCCTGACGTGCACCCATTGCTTTTCAGTGCTCCCCCTGACCCTGAATTAGTTTAAATTGGTTAGAAAATGGATGGATGAATATATGTTTTGCTTGTCTGTTTCTTTCCAGAGTCTGATCACACAGGGCCAATGCACCTGTAATACTGTGGCTCTCATAGCTGAAGCACTGACTGGAACCAGTGAAACCATTTAGGCAATGTGCAGGAATCGTGGTAAGAGATCAATCCATTGTGTGCATCATAAGCTGGAACTAAGGCATAAAAAATGTAAATACATAGTCAATATGCTGCCTTTAAAGGTACAACTGGATTAGTATTCTAGGATATTATTTAGCAATAGTTTATTGTGCTGCATACCCAGTATCTTCCCAACTCATCTCACAGGGGCTGGGTTAAAGCCCACTGATGCAAGAGGCCAGCACTCACAGGAGGTCTCAGGGTCTCGGCGATTCTTTTCACTTGGAGAAGTCCTTTTTCGTCTTGAAAGGCAGGGGAGTTTCACGGACACAGCTGTTGTGGTAACTGCTGAAGAAGAATGGGTCTCAAAATACGGGCAACATAAGACATGGTGTGGTGAGATGCGATCAAGTAATCAAAATGTCACCACAAGCAAGTGATCAATATCCGTAAACACTTCACTTTATCATGCTAACCAAACATGCATATATAGAATGTTACATTATAGAATTATATTTATTATATTATATTCTGTGATCAATCATTTGTACCAAGGGTGCTGTGGTTTAAGGAAGTATACCATTAGATGTTTGAAATGTTCTGAAATTTGAGGCACCCACTCAAATTAGAACCCACTTGAGCTTTCATAATAATGACACTATATCACTGCACATTAGCGAAACACTGTGCATACATTCAGCCTCATATAGGGAATGATGTATGCTGTGCTAGGACGACTTTAAAGCCAAATAAGCTGATTTTATTGTTATTAAATGGTTGATTCTGTAGTTTGGGAAAATCATCCCTTTATATTTAGTACAGACATCAGACATTTTCCTGGAAGCTTATTGACATCACAGAGAAAATTTTTTTTTGCATTTATACGAGATAATATTGCATTTTTATTGCAATATTGATATATAAACGTATTGTGTTTCTTCCGTACATTTTAGTCAGATCCAGCAGCAATGTTTGGTTTTCGGATTGTATTTTGTTCCATTAAAAATAGTCTGTTCTGCACAGATAAAAAATGTACAAATGTACAAAGGCACTGCTGTTTGTGTTCAAAATGTAGTCTACTAAATACCTTTATGCCATTAAAATGGCACAACAGAGAACAGCAGCATGAGATAGTGAAGCAAACAGGTAAGGAAAAAAAAAACACAAAAAAGTGGGACCGGTAACTCATCTCCATTTTATTTAACTGCATTTCTCTTTTTTGGTATTTTTAAATGTGTTTAGGTATTCATCAGCATGTATGGTTCTCTTCCCCCCCCCCTCAAATGTGACATTTGAAAAGGCCCTGTCATTCTTCCAAGCCAGTTTCTCCCAAAATGCAATTGAAATCTCAAGGACCTTTTGCCTGTTAAGCATGCCCAAATACATTGAGTTCAGCCCATTACAATCCTCTCCACATCCGCTCCCCCAAGGCAGTGCCCTCCCGTATCTATCCCTCGCCAAAAGGAGAAAAAAAAATCACAAAATACGCCTGTGTGTTCTCCCCCCTTTCAGCAGCCAGGACCCTGGAGGGTTAACGCTGCTGCCTATCCTGGCTGTTTTATTGCCTGGATTGCTCTGTGCTCCTGAAACAGCAGGAGCAGATTCAAGCAATTACAATCAAGTCAGGGCACATGCCGAGCCGGAGCAGGGTGAGCATGAGGAGGATACTGATGAGGCACTTAGGAGAAAACCCCACATCATCCACGCTCATCAGCAACAACATGTCGCCCGCGATGAGGCATTAGCCGCCTCGACAGCGCGCTCGCCGCGCACTGTTTGCCCCTCTCCCCAAGGCCCCCTCCCCCGTCCCCTACCCCCCTGACCTGTGGTCACACTCCCATTCCGCCAGGCAGCAGAGCGCTCGGAGGACCTCCCTCCCTGGGAGTGCCGGCGGTTGTCGCAGCAGGTCTTGCAGCAAGGCCCTGGGGGATTCAGCGGATCCCTGATCACTGTTGGCGAGAGTAGGCTTGCCAACACTGAAACTGGGCCCGAGTCAAAAGCCGAATCAAAGTGTGGGAGAGCTGGGCTTTTTCACAAGACGCCAATTGCACAGCAGTTTGACAGGGCCTGCCGTGACCAATAGAAATCAACGGGAGGCCCCCGATATTTCCAATTTGGAAGAAATTGGAAAAAAAACTGGAAATCTGAGAAGTTACTATGGCTTTTGTGCATGGTTTGTATCTCTTATGAAAAGCCTGCACCTCTGAAAACCGAGGACATGCTTGGCAATAGGAGTCTTCCTATTTTTCTCTGCCTGTGCTCTGAAATCTATATTGTTTCTATAGCCTTGATCTCTGTTCCTTGCGTATCTCCATGTTCTGATTTGTAATTTAAAAAAAAAACAATTCACAATTCTTGTTTTATTTTTACGTATAAATGGCATAATGCAGATTATGGTCATACTGTGTAAATCTAACCCGTTAAAAGGAAGTTTTTTACACACTTGGTGTGAAATGGGAGCAACACTCAACTGGTTTTGTCAGCAAAGAGCAAACTTCTTATTAAAATAAGTCTTCCCCTGCCTCCAGTCCCTCAGAAATACTCCCTATTATTCAATTACGTTTTTGCCTGAAACAATGTCTTGGAGCCTTTTCAGCTCAGGGGTGAACTTCATGTTACGATTGATGTTCTTTGCTGAGACACGATGCTGCAGCCACTCGTAAATCTCATTACTGGACATGTTTACAAGCCGGGAAGGGGCGAAAGCGCCCTGTTGTCATTCAAATGACTTCCTCTGAAGGAAACCACTCAGTGGAGAGTTTTCTAGTGCATTTCAGATTGTCAACAACTGTTACATCACAGCTCTAGGAAAAGGAACATTCCAGCTCCTGTTAAGAGAGGCTTACCAAAGTGGGAATCTGGAAAATCATAGGCTGTTCACTGCTAACTTTTAATATCGTATCAAAGGATTCACCGATCATCTCTGAGACACAGAGAGACAAAGGAGCCGCAAAGCCTTTCATAAACCATCAATACTCTTGACCAGGAAGATATAACTCTGTGCATATACAGTATGTAGGATTTTTTTCCTGCAAATTAAGAAATGCCAAGCCAATTGTTTTTACAGCGGGCTAGTAAGACTGCAGAGCAGACTATTAGATATAAATCTAAATCCTCAGAGAAAGCAAGTTATACACATGCTTCAAAATCCTTCAATGCAAGATTTATGCATTTATCAAGAAGTACTGGCGCAGTTGTTGACCCCAGCAAACATCAGGAAGAACAAGTTTAATATAGCCTAAAATCAGGAAGCCAAATTGTTTAAGGGGTCAAATATGCAACATTGTGATCCACAAAGTGAAACATCACTCCATAAGAGGCCAGTTTGGCAGAGATAAAGGTGTAACAGTATCATTACCTTGTAGTCCACTCTTATCAAATGTTAGAAGTTAAGAAAGGTAGGGTTTGGTCAGTACTACTGTAGGATGGAAAACTAAGGGAAATCAGGTAGCTGCTGTAAGTGGTGTTGGTGGACCAGTAGGTAGAGCTCTTTATTCTCGTCCAGAATTTCCAAACCAGTTCCCCAGTATGGTGAAAGAGGTCTTTGTGCTGCTGCTGCAGAATGGCTGTTGTGGGTATTACACATATGTTGTGAATGAAATGGGTCCCCTCCCTCCTACCGTATGTAAAGTGATCTGAGATCTTATGGAATGCAAACTGCAATAGATATAAGACCACTTAATAATTATATGCAATTAAATGCAATTTTATGCATATACTGTACTGCATAAAGGTATTTCAGACTTTTCATTCACACAGCCACTGAACTAAGGGATAGGACACATTGATCAAGAACTCTTTCCAAAGCAAGGTCAGAGCTTTATGAGGAAATGAAGAAGAGAAACGCAACATCTCACCAGGGACAACCTCAACTGAGATGATGGATAAGGGATACATTGGGAGCTCACAGATGCTAACCTCTCTCCTACATTAAAGTAAAAGCAGAAAACAAAAATCATGTGTAATCTTAGGTAAACCCCAAGGAAGACAGACAGACAGCTATTAACTTTTATGTTGTGCTTTTTACATAGTTCACATTTAATGATGTGCTTGGAACCAAATCGCATTTTCTTCCACAGAAAAATGATTCAAATGTAGAACAATGAACAAATGAAACAACTGGAAATACTGTATTTATAAATGTGATATTTATAATGTGACATTTTCATTGCTAAGCAAGCATTGTTACTGATTAATCTCAAACTCTTCCATATAAATCATTGATTTCCACAGTAACAACACCAAATGGAGAAACACAACTATAACTATAACCTTATAGCTATAACATTAGGACAAACCTGAATATAAAAAGTGACAGAATTTGTTTGTTATAGAAGCAGCCTAAGCTGTAGAAAAGAAGATATCTTTAAGAGGGCAGTTCTAATGAACTTTGAGCTTTAATGAGCTTTAAGGAGCTTTAATGTAAAGATGTCTGAAAAAAGGTTTTTTCACTAGATACTGTACCACTGGCTAAGATGAATGATTGTCAATATGAACTTACAAGACCTATCACCATTGAATATGTGTAGTTTAATACAGGATTTTTTACACTCATAATAGAAAAAAGTGTTAGAGATTAAGGGTGCCAATACTTATGTCACTGACGACCAAGTCCTGTATTTGATCCATCACAAAAAACTTAACTAGCAGTTTAGGTGACAAGTTAAGTCCTTGTAACAGGAACTAAGATCCCAGTATAAACTCCACCCAGATCAGTGCGGCTCTCTGTGGATTCTTATCGATGAGACCCAGGATGTGTTACAGGGCACGACACTGCTGCAGACGAGTCAAGAAGCACACTCGCATCGAGACCCAGTAGCTTGGGCACTTTTTTATTTATTTTTTTTTAAACAAGGCTTCTGCACCTGCTTTGGAAGCAAGTTCCCTTTTTTTAATTTAAAAAAAAAAACATGCACGCCATCTTTCTCGGCTCCTCGCAGCCATTAGGCTTCACACCTGAAGCTCTCAGCCCTCCTGCTGGGGTCTAATCTTGGCATCATTCACCCCTAGAGACTATGAGTGCTGCCAGAGGGGCTTCAAGTCGCT